ATTCTAATCACTAGATATATCTACGGGCTTACCTCGAAGCTTAATGGAGGTTTTGAAGATTTTCCGGCAAAACTTCCGGCGAGAATTGTAGCTATCTCCGGCGACCTCACACCAATACGACAGCACCACTGCGTTCTCCTCACTCTCAGCAACATAATAGACACAAACTTTGTAAGAAATGGTGAGGAATTAAAGGAATGGAGATGGTACTTATATAGGAAAATGGGGAAGGATGCTGCCAAGGGTGATGTCTGGTTTCCTGTTCGGGCGGCTAGTGGAGCGGGCTGTGATATTTCTCCGATTCCAAACGCAAGTCCCTGATTGGGACTAATTTGGTCCCAGTCGGGGAACACTTTTTGGTCCAACTTTCTCCGAATTGAAATCCGATTGCACCGTTGCGATCAGACAATTAAACTCTATCTAACGATATAATTTTTATATTTATTCGTTATACTTTTTTCGACATCATATTTTTGGGTGGTTGACTTTGACAGAGTCAAAATTGGTTTAATTGACCTTTATTCAAAAAGGTTCTCACATTTAATTCATATTATTTATTTCCATGATTTATTTCAATAAATCATTTCAAAGTTCACATTATAAACAATTTCTTCATTTATTCTTAATTTGGGCCTGGATCACACAATAAATCAACATGTTGGATTTATCTCTATGAGATTTATCCCAATTATGTTCATTGGATATCAATATATATTTTATTTCAGCCCAAAGCCCAACAACAATTTATTTTAATCAAAACAAATTTTGTTTAATTGAATATTTAATTCAATAAATTTTAGGGTATATTTTGGGGCGTTACAAGTGCATTGGAATATCCAAACTGGCACGCTGCCATGTGTGATGAATATAATGTCTTGATAAAAAATGAAACATGGGAATTAGTACCCCCTCCCCCACCCAAAACATAATCTCTGGTAAATAGCTTTTTAGACACAAATTTGGCCTGTCAGGTAAGTTATCTAGGTATATGGTCCGTTGGGTGGTCCGTGGCTTCAACCAGCGTTCTAGTGTCGACTATGATGAGACCCTCAGCCCTATTGTCAAGCATGCCACAGTCCATGTCATCATTAGCCCTGCTCTATCTCGAGGGTTGCCCATTCATCAGCTTGATTTTAAAAATGCCTTCCTCCATGGTCAGCTTCAGGAGACAATATATGCTAGCCTGCCTTCCGGGTTTTCGATCTGACTCGACCCCATTATGTATGCAAACTCAAGAAGGCTCTCTATGGGCTCAAGCAGGCGCCGCGTTCGTGGTACCACAAGTTTGCAGGTTTCATTCAGACTATTGGTTTTCATGGGTGCAAGTGTGACACATCACTGTTTGTTTCCTGTCATACCATGTGTGCTGCCTACATGCTGTTATATGTTGATGATATCGTTCTCACAGCCTCTCCCACTCTACTCCATCAACATGGGGATAATTTAGCTTATTCAAGAACAAATGACAAGAAGACAAAGTCTGGACTCCTCAAATTGAAGAGCTCGATTAGAATTCTTGAACAAACACAAGAAGACAAAATGGATACTCCACTCAATAAAGAGTTACAGTCTAGGAATCTTGAACAAAAACTAAAGGGCGGATTCTGTAACAAAGGAATCCCTCTTCAAACAATTGGATATGTCCAAACACCCACTCCAAGGAGAATCCCCAATCTCCCTCTTTGTTCAAATTGAAGCTAACAAATTCAACGGATAGTCTATTCCCTTCAACGGATAGATTATCCATCCAGCCTATATATAGCTCCCATGGAGGATTGAAGGAGACAACGAAATTAACACACAGAACTACAACGATCAAAGATACCTCATTCACAGTTAGCCAAAAAGCTTGATAAAGAGAGAATTCTAAACTCCTTCTCTAGAAACAAACTCATTCTTCTTCCAAAGAGCTATAAGTGTAAACACTTGAAGGTTTCCTTGCCTCAAGTACCACACCACGTTGAAGGATACATCTTTTAATCAAACATCTTGATTAAAACAGGGCACATCAACTTTTCTACAAGTTGATCTGGCAAGTCCTATTGTTCAGACTTTGCAGTTGTTGAATAAGCTTGACCTTCGAAGGAACAACAAAGCCAACACGAGTGCAGTAGCAATATTGTCCTTGCGAAGATATACCGTGCAAAAATTCACAAAGTGTAATTGTTGGTTCATTATTCAACAATCAACTACATAGTGGATTTTGAGGACGTAGAAGGATTACCCCACCTTCGAACCTCGTTAAAGTTTGCATGTCTCTCTCTTATCTTTACTTATATTATTTGTGTTTATATTAACTGTGTAGACTAACCCATTTATATTGATTACTGCTCCAATAACCCACCAACTTCCGCACAAAATCTAAGTTCACAAGAACTTTAGATTAACACTCTTTGATGTTTTTAAAAGAAACGAAAAAGTTTTTAAATTTGTAACAAAGTCTGATCTATTCACCCACCCTCTAGACTTTGTATCTCACCCACCACTTAGGGGACCACCAGATGGTCTGTTGTTTAACAACAAGATTGAAAGTCTCCGAATAATCTAGACCATACTTATGAGTGTAGCCTTTTTGCAGCAAGGTGGGCTTTGTATCGCGAAATAGATCCATCTGCATTATATTAAACTTTGTAGATCCAATTACATCCAATTAGAGATTGAACCAGAGGTCTAAGAAAAAGTACCCATATGTTCTGTTTGATCAAAGTAGAATATTCTTCATCCATAGCACGATGCCAAACCTCATATTTGGAGGACTCTTTAAGTGATGTTGGCTAAGAGTCAGAAAGAGAAGAATGAAGAGAGGTGAAGAAGATTTTGGGTTTAAAGATACCACTTTTAGCACGGGTAGTCATTGGGTGCCTTGCATATCCTCATCTCCTCCATGAGATCGATCATAAGCTCCGATACCATATTAAACAATGGAATTGAATAATCATAATGATCAAGGAAATAAGAGATACATGAGAGAGTATATATACAGAAGGAACACAACCCCAAATAGGACTAGGAATCAAGAAAAGAATTGAACCTGACTAAAACACAAAGTCTACCATAAATAATGGTACCGTAATTAGTTGTCTAACATATTTCAATCAAAATTACATATTTATCCTAATTGACTATTAACTTATCTATCACATCACATACATATCATTACTTGTTGGGACTGCGCCTGCCCTCACCCCAACCCCGCATTAGTATGATATTGTCCGCTCTGAGCCAAGCTCTCACGGATTTGTTTTTGGGCACTTTCCAAAAGGCCTCATACTAATGGGGTTGGGTGAACCTATATATTTTGGTCCATTTTTTCTTCTCCTTCCGGTGTGGGACTTAGAGGAATCCCCAACAAACCTCCCCTCAACCAAGGACCACACAATTTCCGACCTCCCCTCTAGCGGTAATCCATTTTCCTTTTATCTGCTAACCATCTTGCACCGCCGCACACTCTTTGCAGGATGCGCCGCCCGACTTCCTGTCGGGAAGACTTTCGACACAACACCATTTGATCCGCCAAATCATCTTGTACCGCCGTGGCTATAACTTCACGGGACATGCCACCCGACCTCATCTCATCGGGAAGACTTTCGACACAAGGCACCACCTGCAGATCCTCTTTCTTCGTCTTGGTCCTATTCTTACACCGTCACACCGAGATTTTTCCACACTACACAGTCTGCCTCACGCCCACAAGAACCTGGGCTCCGATACCACATGTTGGGACTGCGCCTGCCCTCACCCCAACCCCGCATTAGTATGATATTGTCCGCTCTGAGCCAAGCTCTCACGGATTTGTTTTTGGGCACTTTCCAAAAGGCCTCATACTAATGGGGTTGGGTGAACCTATATATTTTGGTCCATTTTTTCTTCTCCCTCCGGTGTGGGACTTGGAGGAATCCTCAACATTACTCCATACTAATGTATTCCTCATTTCATCTACTACTTTATTACTCTCTTCGGTCCTAAAAACCTTTCACGTTTTAACTTTTTTTAGTCAAATAGTAACACACTTTGACCATACATTGTGAGAAAAGTATATTTAATTATAATATAAATTTAATATAATTTAGGTTCATCTTAAGATATAGTTTTGATATATCAAATTTTTATATCGTTTATTTATTTAGATTATGTTTAATTTGTGGTCAATGAATGTCATTGTTTGACTAAAAAGGTCAAAATAAGAAAGACTTTTAGGATTAGAGGAAGTATAAAGCAATGGTAAAATGAAAAGACAATGAGACAAACATAGTAATACTAAAATAAAGCTAGTGTATGTTAATATGATAATATAATGTCTAAAATACATTAAATACAAAATTTATCAAATATGAAAAAATTATTTAGACAAGAGGAACAATTATTAATGGTTTTCCAAAAATAGAAATAGTGACTACAAGCCTACGACAGACATACGTGAGGAGAAAAATGGATCTCTAGAGACATCGATTCAAAATGGTATACCGGCAAAAAAATGCGGATCGGAGTATAACTGAATTTAATCTTTTATTTGATTTTTTTTCAAACTTTGATCCCGAAATGTAAAAAAATAAATTGTGTTTCGTTGTGCATTAGTGCATACGCACATACTCCCTCCGTTTCACAAAACTCTTCCTCTTTCGTTTTCTTTTGCTTTCCACAAAACACTTCCATTTTCTATTAAAAAATCACTTTTACCCCTACTTTTTCATACCCTATCTATCACATCATACTTTTTTCACTAATAACCAAACTATCACATCTTACTTTTTCCCATCACATCAGGGGCAAAATTGGAAAGTCAACCAAAATTACACTTTCCTTATTTTTCCCCAAAGTCAAAACCGGAAGGGTTTTGTGGAACGAAGGGAGTAGGTGATAAGTTTGTGCATTAGTACATACACACATAGGTGAAAAAATAAATTGTGTTTGTTTGTGCATTCTATGTGTTCAGAGACGATTATTATGTAGCTTGCTCGCATACAACATCATAGATATTTGTAAAACGTGGTGTCAACCGCGGTACATTTCTAGCATGGCTCTACTTGCTATGTTGTAACCCAAATACAAATAGGGAGAAAGACCAAAGTAGGACCAAAACATTGAAATATACCAAAATAGGACTTCCATGTTTTTATTCCCGAAATAGGACTACATTACCAAACATGGTCATATACATTACCAAAAAAGTATAGTAATTTGTACATGTACACTGCCACATTACCACAATGCAAAGTCACATTACCACAGTGCAAAATATTATTCCGGGAAAAAAACATGAAAGTCCTATTTTGGTACTTTTCTCTATGTTTTAGTCCTATTTAGGATGATTTCTAATACAAATACTCTCTCCCTTTCAAAATAGGTTTTCATTGCACTTTGTGATGCTCGACTAAAGCTATTAATAGTTCAATTCATCTCAATATTTGTGTTGAGATATATATATATATATATACACACACACACGGAGTAACTTACATCTTTAAAAACTACATCAAAAGATTTACAAAACAAGAGATGACAATGAGTGAGCAAGTATCGAACTGACAAGGCCGGCTCATTAGGGGGACAAGCAGCCTGTTCGGACTGGGCCCATCAATGTAAGGGGCCCAATTTTTAAATAATATATATATGAAGCCCAGCCCAAAACCGAAAACTCCCCCTTCCAATTTCTGCCCCTTCCTAGAACGCAGAAGGCAAAGTCAAACGGAAAAGATCGAGAGAGAAAGGCGCAGAGTGCAGGAGACGTCGTGTCACTGCCGCCACCCACCACACAACGCTGCCCGCCTGCACGCTCCACTGCTCTAGCCTCCCGTTACCAATTTTGTGATTTTGTTCATAGTTTCATTCTTGAGTCTTTGGCTTGAAAATCTAGGGTTAATTATTAATTAATAATCTGAAATGTTTACTAATTTCTTGAAACATCTCGAGTTATACCAAACTGACATTTCGTGATCGGGATTAGTATGACGTAAAATCCATGCCAAACTAAAATATTTGGTGCAATACCGGTACAAGTTAAATACTGTGTCATAATACCATACCATGGTCACATTAGATGGCATGACTATATTATTTTTTTTAATGAGTAACGAAAATAGATTATAAAAAATGTCGTTAATATTTGACCGTAAGTACGTAATATAATACTCTCTCCACCTGCATGCTCCATTATTGCATGTTGAGAGTCACCATGATTTACATTTTCTCACAATCACATTGCTGCTCGAGACCAGCAATTTTGACTTTTTAGAACAAGGGTAAAATAAACAAATCAATCAAAAAGCATGTGACGAGACTTTTTGACTTCTTTTGCATGCAAACTTAAGCAGTTAATGCACCTTAAACTCCTCCGTTGACTATTTTTCCCCTGTGGATAGATAGCCCCTTCCACATGATCACGTATACTGTAATAATATTAATAACTTCGGTCAACAACGTTTTCGAGATGTATTACTATCTCCTTTTGCCCTTCTCTATTCCCACCACTATACAATATATGAATATATACATTTTATACATATAAATAATACACACACATATATATACTCCCCCCACATCCTCTTTCATTTTTTTCACTTCCAACAAAACACTCTCACTTTCTCTTAAAAAAACCACTTTTACCCTTACTTTTTTCATACCCTACCTATCACATCATACTTTTTCTCTAATAACCAATCCATCACATCTTACTTTTACCCATCACATCAGGGGCAAAATTAGAAGTCAACTATAATTTTACACTTCCTTATTTTGGCTCCAAGTCAACATGGCCGTCTCCAAGAAATTAGGGGCCCTATCCGACACGGAGAAAATGCGTCATTGTCTGATAAAAAATTAAAATTTATCAATTAATTTTTTTAATAATATATAACATTGTAGTAATAATAAAATGTCAGACTCATAGTCTTATAAGTTTGCAATTATATACTCTGAACTCTGATACCTGACTGAAGACTCGTGAAGTTGTTCTATTATTCTTGAGAGAAAATAGGTTGATCACTTCTTCATAGTTTATTAGATTTAATAATTTAGAACTGTATTTTTAAAAATAAATCAAGATTATTTTATATAAATAAATATATACATGTAGGTATACAAAAATTGGGCCCCATTCAAAAATGGGCCCTGGCCAAATGACCACCTTGCCCCTCCTTTGAGCCGCCCCTGCAAGTCAAAATAGGAACCTTTTTTGCAAACGGAGGGAGTATATATCTGTGTGTGTATATATATATATGGCTTCTCTTTGCCCAAGTTTTAGAAACATATATATATATATATATATATATATATATATATATATATATATATATATATAAAGAGTGTTAATAAATTTGGTATTTATATATAAATAATAAAAAGAAGAAGTAATGTTTTGATGAATGAAGATCATCAATGGGAAGGGCGCCAGCAGGTTGTTGCGATAAAAAAGGGGTGAAGAAGGGGCCATGGACTCCAGATGAAGATATCATTTTGGTTTCATACATCCAACAGAATGGCCCTGCCAACTGGAGACTTGTTCCTACCTATACTGGTATAGTATTTACCCTTCTGTCTCGAATTAATAGTTTCATTTTTTTTACGATATCCTTAAAAAAAATACTCCTTCCGTTCCACAAAATCTTTCCCCTTTCGTTTTTTTTTGAATTTCCAAAAACACTTCCACCTTCTATTAAAAACCCACTTTTACCCTTACTTTTTCCTACCCTACCTATCACATCATACTTTTTCTCTATTAGCCAAACTCTCACATCTTACTTTTACCCATCACATCAGGAGCAAAATTGGACGAGTCAACCAAAAATTATACTTTCCTTATTTTTGCCCAAAGTCAAAAGTGGAAGGGTTTAAAGGAACGGAGGGAGTAGTATTTTCTTCCACTTTTGAATTTTCTTTTATAATCTACTCTCTCCGTTTTGAAAAACACCCATCCCACTTTAACCAAAGGATAAATTTAAAAAGTGTTAAATTGTAGCTGACTTCCAATTTTGACCTAGACGTGATGAGTAAAAATTTGATGCGGTGGACAGATTATTAGAGAAAAAGTAAGATGTGATAGGTAGGGTAAGAAAAAGTAGGGGTAAAAGTGGTTTTTTAATATAAAGTGGAAGTGGTTTGATGGAAGAGAAACAAATGAAAGAGAAAGTGTTTTGGTAAACGAAGAGAGTATATTTTTTGAGTCTCTTTTATATCATGCATTATCAATTACACAGTTTTATTTTTTTTAAACTATTACTTTAAAAAATATGGGCTATGAATTGATGGTTGATTGGTTTGCAGGGTTGCAGAGGTGCAGCAAAAGCTGCAGGCTGAGATGGACAAACTATCTGCGCCCAGGGATAAAGCGCGGCAACTTTACGGATCAAGAAGAGAAGATGATCTTTCATCTCCAAGCTCTTCTTGGCAATAGGTATCTATATACACTCCAAGTCTCCAATCCATGTACATTCATTTTGGACATATTTCATTCGTCAAGATTTTGATTACAAACTAACACTTTTTTTTTATTATAAATTGGTACACCAATAAGAAATAAAAATATATATAAAAAATTATATAAAAATTTACAAAACAAGAGATGACAAAAATATTTCGTTTTGTCAAATATTCAATGAAAACATATAAACAAACAAAAGTTATCGAGAGAGGAGAGAAAAACATAGTAATCAATTTTGGGACGGAGGGAATATCTAAATTAATGTTTATTTGAGCGACTAAAAATATGTTCAATAAAATCCGCCGTTAGTGCATTGTGAAACTCTCGGCTTCAAATTTCTTGGCGGTTTCTTCATTTCTTTTCTTCGTCGATTTCTTAGTACGTAAGCACCTTCTCGTCCGAGTTGTAATGACAAATTGCAAACCCGTACATAGGCACCTCCTCGGCGGTACACTTTTGGACGTTGCTAAAACTGTGTCGGCCTCTCGCATCAAACCATTGAGTGAACCAAGGCACCTTGCATTAAATATCGACAAGTATGCATAAAAAAAGAATGGCTTATCCGAAAATGATTACTAAAATCCTCTGATGTGTGAATACACGAAGTATTGAAGTAGTCATTGAGTAGTCCTTCGTGTGCAGCCGCCAGATCACGGTTTAAACGCTCATGTCGAGGTGGGTGCTAGAACGGTTCTGCTTCCTCTTGTGCTTGTTGCCATCATTGATACCAGTCCGTCGCAAAATAATGAAAAATGAGCGCTCTTATTTCATCGTCAGATGAAGATAATCCCATTTTTTGGGTGTTTTGTAAAGAAATTTAAAAGAAATAGAATATTTTTTGGATGAATTATAGAGAGAATGAGAATATGTTCTGTGTGTATATCTTTGAAAAAACAAGAGGGTGTTTATAGTTGAAAAATTAAAATTTGTTTTAAAAGTTGGTCCACGGCCTAAAATTAGACAGTTTGGGGGGGCAACGTTCCAATGCAGCGTCAAAGGTTTAACGCAGTGACGTTAGCACTACAGAATATATATTACCCAGCGGATAAATATGGCTTTTCCCATCGGAAAACAGCCGCTGTCCATGCAACCGATGGGCGGGAAAGATCTCTTGTTTACACAGCGCTTATTTTTCCGATGTGTAAACTTTATACAGCACATATATTATCCCATGTGTAAAGTTTACACATCGCATAATTTATGCGCTGTATAAAGTTTATACATCGGAAAAATATGCGCTGTGTAAAGATTAGAGCTTTCCCATCGGTTGTATAGACATCGAATATTTTTCACATTAGACAACATATAAATAGTCGTTGTGTAAACTTTATATAGCAGAAAAAAATTCAATGTGTAAGCATAAACAACTTTTCAATGGGAGAAATTATATTTAATTACCCAATACATAAAATTGCAATATATATAACGAAACAAGTTTTATTAAAAAAGATAAAACAAAATACATGAGGGGAGGACCAAACCAAAGCCCCTCCATAAATGGTGAGAACATAAATTTACCAAGAGAACTAATAATTGCTAAAATAGAAGTCGAGCCAAAATATATAATTGGTTTCCCACTTTAGATACGCGCCTTGATAGATGGAATGGCGCTCGTCCTCTATCACTAAACTTTACACAGCCCTTTGAAGTAGTTCGCTGCGTAAAGTGCGATGTATAATGTATATTCTGTAGTAGTGATGATAACGCTCATGGGGGGTGGTGTTTAAAGCCCTCATGACGTTAAAATGTGGATAACGTGCATGGGCGTTAGGTGTTATTCTGGTGCCCTAACACCATATCAATTGGGGTACCAACCATGCTCCAATTATAAAATTCACGGTTCCTATCCCCCTAATTTCCTAAATCCCCACAACAATTTCACCCCCACCTTGGATTTCTGATTTGACATATTTAAATATGCCAAATCAATGATATAGAGTGGGGGCAGGGGTGAGGTAGAGGTAAAATTGATGTGGAGGGTTTGGGGGTAGGAACCATAAATTTTATGAGCGGGACACCAAAGGTGTCCAATCCAAATGATGTCATATGAGGATGGTGAAACTTCACACTTTTTCTACAAAATGTAAAGAAATATTATCAAATATAAGTAAAACATTGGATTTATTTTGAAAACAAGAGTTCAATTTTTTTATTCTTAAAAGAATAGTTTGCACTGTGACATTTTAGCATTGTATAGTGGCAATCCACTGTACTTTCTGGTACTATATACTAATATTTTTATCACAAAAAGTCAAATGGGAAGAAATAACTTCCCCGTAATAACATCAAAATTATTTACTCGTAATTTTTTGTATGAATTATTATGCACAATTTATTTGACTAACACAATTTAGTTTTTTTATTCAGTTTTTAAGTTATAATGCAATTTAGGTTTTCTAATAGGAAAATTTTACATGAATACTTCAAAAAATTCATGAATTTACATAAATACTCCCAAATTCATTAATTTATACTCCATCCGTTCTAAAATGATCTTCTCAGTCACTATTCACATGATCAAATTTTAATCACTTTGTTTACCTATTTTCATTATTTATTTGATAAAATAATATAATTATGTCACCTCTTGCTTTGTAGAACTTTTGATGTAGTTTTAAAATATATAAATTTTATTGTTTAATTTTGCACCTATAATCAAATAAATTGAATTGAAAATAATATCAATCAAACCTCGTAAACCGAACTGGGAAGATCATTTTAGGACAGAGGGAATATCATTATTCATAGAATTGTCTCATATTTATATTGTTACGTTCGTGCTGCCTAGTCATCATGTGTGTTGTTCTTTTAATGCTAGGTGAACAATTCAATCTGATCAACAATAGCTTTAAATTACACTATAATCATATAGATCAGATCCCCTCATATCATATCCGATTCATTGAGATCTTATCTATTGCTAAATCAACATTCAAAATTTTAAATATTTAGTTGAGTTGGTAGTGACAATATAGCTGTATACAAATGTGAAATTTTCGTGAACATTTTCATCGTCATTGTTGAATTTTGTAGCACACACATATTAATGCAAAATCGCGAATTTTGTATACTATTAATTTGAGATTTTCTCCATTTTATAAAAAGTCCATATAACAATATTTTTAGAATTGTTATCATCAATCTTTTGATGGTAGATGGGCAGCCATAGCTTCTTACCTTCCCCAGAGGACAGACAACGATATAAAGAATTACTGGAACACTCACCTGAAGAAGAAGCTCAGGACGACACTCCAAGGCCATGATGATGATTTTGGACAACGACATGGTCATAATTCAACATCATCTTCTAAAGGGCAATGGGAGAGAAGGCTCCAAACCGATATCCAAATGGCCAAACGAGCCCTTAGTGAGGCACTACCAATCGATGAGAACAAATCATCAATTGGAAAACCTAGCCAAGAGGCAAATAATAATAATAATAATGCGTTCCATTGGGCCCCATCAGCTCAATCAAACACTACCTATGCAACAAGTGAAGAAAACATAGCCAGACTACTTCGGAGCTGGACAACCACGAAGACAACAATGACCAATAATTCCCAAAAGCCATCGCCAAAAACTACTTCTTCTTCAGACCTCGCCGAAATTTTGAAGTTTGATCAATCTATTTTCAACCAAAACTATGAGATCGAGAGAATGTTTGGTTCCACACAGCAAAGTTTGGCTCCCCATAATGAAAATAGTTTTGGGAGTCAAGTGCCATTGGCGGTCATCGAGAAATGGTTGCTAGATGATGCTAGTAATAATAATTTACAGTCACATTATATATCTACTCTAAACTCCATCTAAAGTTAATGTTCGTGGCACTTTTTATTGAATTGGCATGCTTTTTATTATGTGTATGTATAATTTGTTATGTTTTATGTACCAATATGCATTCTACCTTAGCTTGACTTCCAAAATAGATAATTAATAACTTGTACTGAGAGCTAGAAACGTTTACATATACATAAATTTACTATTGATGATTCTCTCATTCTCGTGTTTATATACTCCATATGAGAGTTCACATTAAAGTTTCCCCCGCATATTACATGGTTGTACTATTTTATTTAATTGAATTGAGACACACACACACTACCCACACAAATAGTTAATGTTTGTGTGTGTCTGGAGATAGATACTAAGATGTTAAAGATGGTATCCTATAGGAAATAAATATTATATTTAATGACCGTCCTTATTTTCTTATTTCCTTATTGTATTGTAACTAAACTTTTTCTCCTACTATGATTAGAATTCTCCTTGTATTGCATATATATATATATATATATATATATATATATATATATATATATATATATATATATATATGGATGCATTATTCATTACTCAAGAAGACTAATTATCATCAAATTATATCATGGTATCGGAGCAAAGGTCTTCCTCCAAAACCTTATTTTTTCGGCTAACCGTGCCTCTTTCCGGTCACATCCTCGTCGGTCGACCACCGACATGGCCTCAACGGACCCTCCTGCTTCTCTTCTTTTTGGAGAAAAACTTTTACTCCACAATCTCCACAAACTTGTTCCAGAAAAACTCACAGATACAAATTAACATGCGTGGTCTCTTATTGTTCGAACTGCGCTTGAAGCTAATTGTGATTGACACACAACTCTGTGCTTGTCTTCTCGCCGTCATCAGCCCCGCTGTTCACAAACAAGCTCGGGGAGCTAACTTCATAACTTCTGCTGCTCTCTGGGATGCTTTAGCGACACACTATAATTCTTTATTAACTACTCATATCATCAACACCGGTACGAGCTTCTTACTCTTCGAAAAGGTACAAAAAAACATGACTCAATATCTTTATGAAGTCGCCTCTATTCTTGCAAACTTGATGCCTTAAATGAGGAAATTCCTGAATGTGATGTTGTAGATGCTCTTATTCGTGGTCTCCCCACCAATTACCCTTCCTTTAAAGAAAACTTCCGCATGCAAAACAAAAACATCAGTCTCAACCAACTTTCTAGATGGCTCATCTCCGAGGAAATTAATCTTGACATGGAACAAAAAAAACTGGGTCTGACTGATTCAGCGTTGGGAGGGCCTAAAACAATACTTTTTTCTTCAGGCGGTCAAGGCTGCGGTTGAGGAGGAGGCCACGGTCGACCATCCTTTGACCGCGGGAATGGCCTTACTTGTGGCGGCCGAAGAAACCATCGAGGGAGAGGTTGCAGACCTCCTGTATCACCCCCAACTCGCATAACCCAAACACTTGGGTCAATGAACCAGGTTGCTACTGATCTGGTATCCAAAACACACAATATTTAAAAATAATTTAAAATATCCAAACAGTTTTCATAATAAAAGTCCATCAATGGAGTAAAACCCTAACAATGCGGAAACTTAAGTATTTAAAACAACACGACTTGGGACCCATGCCCAAAAATGTGACAAGTTAACCAATAATAAAGATTAAATAAAAATAATCAATTATATCTTCCCACATCTCTTCCTCCTCATTTCCTTCCGGGAATGGCTCTAGGTTCATCATTTTCCTGATTACCTGCGTGTAACAAATAAACACACTACACGCTCAACAATGATGTTAAGTGAGAAATATCTAACGATAAAGTAAACAAATAAGCAAACCCACAATTCATAACAATCATGTGATATCATCTACTAACATATAAATCACACATATAGTTCATCACATAATTTACCTAGCACTTTCCATTTTCATTCTTGTCAAATTTATGGATTCTTCGAGGTAAGGGTATCACCAAGAACCTGTACCTATAATCTATTCTAGACTAAGGACTTTCTACTTTCTCTTGGAGTCATGATATTTCCCACTAGATCA